GAGAATCGGACGCTGTGTATGTCAGACATGATAGCAAACATGTCCTACCTTTGACAGATGATGCTTCTGTCGTCTGTCGTCGAACGCAGAAAACTCTCAACCCCCAATCGGCCTGAGAATCCGCCCGCCCATTCAAATCCCAGGAGAAGATTTCCGTTAGGAGAAACGAATCGTTGCGGTGTCTCATCCGACGCGTCATTGAAAGAGAGAGTGTTCGAAATGTCGGCGAAACCAAGATTGTCGATGCTGTGGCGGAGCAAGAACGGAACGAGAATGTTTTGGGGAAGGTGGCAAACAAGGGATGGACTGTGGGGATCCACGTAGGATTCGCCAGTCGTCCGAAGATGCTGAAAGTGATCATGAATGCAAAGTAAATTCGACCAGTTATCTTGTATGTTCACGGATGTTGTATAAGACGTGTTCCTCCAATCTCGTAATGGTGGAGAATTTTTAAGAACGAGGTTATCAATATGTCCCATAGACCGAAAGACTACGAAGAAGACAGAAGAATGAAATTGTTCCGGCGACTGGCGGGTATGTCACTAGCTGTCCCACGCGTACGCAGAGATGATCTCTGCGATGTCGATAGCGTCCAGGCAAACTGTGTCATACAATTCTCACCTTCCATGGAACGATTCGATAGGAAATGAGCCTGAGGGGCTGCGTTGCTGATGGCATCAATTGATGGATGTTGATCGATGAGGATGTGGGGGATGCGTAACTGGCTGAGCAACATCGACAACGTGGTTCCAACGGGGCCAGCACCGACGACCAGGATCGGGGTCTCAATGACAGCCCGCGACGGATTCTCCACGGCAGGTTGGTCAATTTGATCTTCATTTTTTGGGGTAGCGGCCACTGCGCGAGGAAGAAAACTCCACTGGCGACGACAGTCAGCGAGATGAAGGGAAGGAGATCGCTTCGGCAGATTCCGCAGGTTTGCCAAAAATAAGGGCTGCATCATGACGATTGCGATGAAAACGAAACGAAGTGTCACAGGCGGACAAATGAACGAGTGTCCACTAAGATGAGCAGCCGGTAAGGTATCAGTGACCGCTTAGAGTGAGTGACCGCTCAATAGCTATTGCGGTCGCGGAAACATAATTCCATTTCCACTTCCAGAAAGGAAGCCCTGTTCAGTCCCACATATGAATTACAATGAAGTTCTTCACATTCTAAAATTCCTTCCGATGCTTATTTAGAGTTCAAGTGTTGCTGCTGTACTACGTTCGATTTCAAAAAGTACTGCTCTAGCGTCTAGAAGAGCTTCACGTCCCTTTTCAATTTCGATTTTATGCACATCCCCGAATAACGACAAAATCTAAAATAAAAAAGAGAGAAGACGAAGGATCAAAATGTTGAGCGCCACATTGAAGATGCTAGTGACTATCGCACTGTATCGACACCCACTTCGATCGCGAAACTGATAATTCCAATGGAGGCCTTGGAGGCGCGCGCTTTCAACGTTTCCTCCAAAGATTCTCTGTAACACGACTTGCATTGTGGTACGCGAACGAAAAACTTACGTGAGAATCGAGCTTCCGAACCAACACAATTCGAATCCGACGTAACGACATGCATCGACGCCTGTTCTGACTGAAAAGAATTCGATGGAGAGATTTGCAATTTTCGCCTACCTAGTGAGAGGACAAACCACGGAACAAGGCGTTGAACTTTCTTATTGAACGAATCAGACGATCGAAATAGCAACTGCAGGCGATTATGAAACCTGCAGAGCGACAATTTTGCATTTGGGCAATTTGATGATATTTCATACGTGTGGACTCGGCTGCATAACAAGAACCGACGGAAAGGGAGATTTGGAGACTCGTGGACCAAATTAGCGAAACTGTCTTCCAAAGATTTTAGAATGGTCTCCCCTAGTTGAATTCTCTGGTCATCCGATCTGGACGTTGTAGCCCAACCACGTTCAATAAAGTCGATCACAGAGTCGATATTCTGATTCGAGTTGATGTTGAGGAAATTTATATACTCATCGACAAAACATCCGGCTTCTTGTCTTCCACAACGCCGGCAGCAGCGAATGGGATGCAATGAGTCCCAATCATCCTTCTTCATCATCAGGGGCGGATGAGCGAACAGTGACTCGAAAGACGGTGGAAGATCAACTGAGTCGAAGTGACACGCAAGACTGGAGCTGAACCCGCCAACCCCTTCCTTCTCCGAAATACAATTGAACAGACTTCTGAACCAATCAGTCGAAAACAAAAGAGAGAACGGAGGCGCCATTTTCTTGCATCCCAAAGCAACTAAATCCTGTTGATATCGATCTTCGTTTTCGAGGTAGTCCTGCTCGCACTCTGAACAAATGGGCTCTTCTATGCTCAAATTATGCGCTATCTGGGAAAGAGACTGTGGAAAATTGAGCTTCACTGAAAGGAGACTTACCGTGAATGGGGACTGGGAATGGCAAAACCAGCAACCACATTTGAAATAGAAGGAATTTGCTAATTCTTTCTGTCGCTCTGCAAGACGAACATTTGTTGAAATCTTTTCTCGTTGACGCACCTTCAATTGGAGCTGTTCCAGAGAAATAGCTAAACGTCACCTGCGAAACATGAATGAGAGAGTTTTTTTTTTTTTAACATGAATGAGAGCTGAATCGTTGTTCTTCGATGGTCCAAGTTTGTATGACGCACCTCTTCACCTTCTCGAATTTCTCGAACTGCTCGAAATTGAAGTCTATTGCGATGAGATAAGACGCATGCATTCGGGGAGCACCTGACGAAGGACGTTCAAATACTGGAAAGCAGAGATTGATAGAAACAGTCCCAATCACTACAGAGTTGAATGCTATTTCATCGAACGTAAGATGTAATCCACATCAGCTGTTTTCCTTGAAGAGCGTTTTGAGACGCAGAATAGACCCCGAAACTCACGAGTGGTTGATGAAATGAGTGAATGGATACACGCCAGATCCAATGACTTCAGAAGTGACGCTTCCGAGAGAGAATCCATTTCTTTTTATTTTAGGAACTATAAATCGAATGTGTGGAACATCCGTGCTGGAAGGATGAGGAGACCTTGTGAGAATAGAGCAAGCCAACGTGGCAACTGTAGAGTTAAAAGTTGATTTAATACAATGGATGAGATAATGAAACCTACGATCTTACAAACTGTAGATTGGTCTTCATCCGGATCGACACTATTGATATCAGGGACCATCAGTGAAACAATTTTTAACGTCGAAGGACTTGGCCCGTAAATATCCTTCAAAGGAATCTTGTTGTCATCCATCAACAACTGTGTTCTGTTTTTAGTAGCGAACAAGGAAGGAAGCTGCGAAAGACTTATTTTTTCTTCTGATAAAATTTTAGCAACAATTGTCGCTAAAAACCGAACTGTTCGCGTTGAACGCGGAGGGAAATTTGTTTTCCGCTTCAAGATTTCTGATATGGAAGTCCCTTCTGTTAGAAGCGGACATTCGGTAGAATGCACCTGCTTCCATGACTCTTTTTGGCACGCGCGTGTGCAGTAATGGACAACCTGAAGACATGAAATTTTCATTAGCACTTCATCTTAGGATTTAGAACTGTGATCTTCTAAGTTTGTCTTCTCAACAAACCACCTCAAGGGATCACAGGCCAACATCTCGTAGTCGTTTCCGAATTTCATGTTCTTACTTTGCACTGAGAACATCTCAAAAACGATTGATTGCTTGTTGCTTCTATTCCACATCCGGTGCAATTCAAAGATTTTCCATCACCATCGATTTGAAGTGCGATGGGCGAACATTCAAGTAAAAGATCTCCCGGATGGAAGACAATTGGAGAAGAAGTTTTGCCCTGCATTTTCAACCAGATGCCCTTTTCCGAAATTTCGGTTTCCTTTCTGGCGGTTCCCTCTGTTCGACAAAACGCATCCCTTCCTGCAACAACTTCGAAATCATTAGAATTTTGACTTTTTCGGCGAACGAACAGGTTTTTGTGGACAAAATTGTGCGCCATTTGGAAGGGACTGCTACTGGTGGGTTTAACAGATGGTCAAGTTTTACACGCCAGTAAAAATATTCGTTCTCCGGCGTTCAGTATTGAAATTGTTAACTACATTTTGTGGCTCGCGTGAGCGCCTTGAGCACCCGCCTGCCGATTTGCTTGAGCAGCTGTTTGATCCGCGTGTCCTCCTGGAAGACAAATCATTTTGATATATTTCAAGATTCCGCGAAGTTAGATAAGATCTCTCGAGTAAAGATCATGGTGAACAGCGTTGAATGTTTGCGAGTTTTATTCAATCGACAACCAGCGTTGAATGGATCATAGAATCTGACCTGCACGAGAAGCACCACAATCAGGTTTTCCTCCAGCGGAACGCGCAGGTCCTGCGAAAGAGAAACGACAAGATGGACGGATTCTCACCGGCAAAGACTCTTGATTTAAAAGCTCATTTGAACAAACATCTTACCCATTGCTGATTGAGAAGGAGCTCCTGCACCGGCGCGGTTTGCTTTGGACTTATCCATGATGTAATAATTGGGGAGAGAGTGGACAATTAGTGGCATGAGCTGTCGTTCCGGGCGTGCACGCAGAACTAGAAACGCGCAGTCCTATATGAGCTTGAAAGCGTTATTGGCTTGATATCCAGGCCATCGTTTGCACTAAAGTCGACTCGTGTTTCACTCTTGTCACCCAGTACTCTTGTTTTAACTCTAGGTGGTTGTTAAGTATTCGTCTCACAAAATAAAACGCCAAGGACTCGCAACACTTCGACGTGGTGTGGGGTTGAAATAGATGTCCCCAATTAAGAAGCAAGTCAGCACAACTAAAACCGAACTCACCACATCGATGGCCAGAAGCAATTTATTAGAACGGCTGGGAAAACGCCAGGGAACGGAAACGTAAGAGGATAAATGAAGAAGAGGAAGAACGACGAAAATGCGGAACAGCTCAAAGAAGGTCAATCGCGAATGAGTCAAGCGTCCTGCACTGCGAGCCCGACGAAGTCCTACAAATGAAAACTTATTTTTAGATTTTCTTTGTCTTTTAATAACGATAGAGGACTCGTGATTGGAACGTACGACGTTGCTCTTCTGTAGCCTCGGGGGGAGGAACATCGTTTACCGGAGCTGCTGAGTGACCATCCTGTGTCACCGAACTGCTTCGCTCGCGCAGATACGGAACAGCACGGGCGATCGATGGAGGAATCATAGAGGAAGGAAGCGTCTGAGAGAATAGATTCAAACATTTATCCAAGTTTCACAGCAAAGGGAAACTTACAGGGCGACGAGGCGTCGGCTCTTCACAATACGTTGCGACGAGTGTTGCGTTGTCTTCCCCACAAACAGGGCATTTCCACTTTGGGGACTCTATGGCCAATTGACGACGTAGCTGAAAAACAGCCGACCATGAGATCAACAAACAAACTGTACTATGAGATCAGTAAGAAATGTATTGAATAGGCTGAACGCACTTCAGCAGGCCAATTAAGACTATGGAGAGCTCCATCGCACGGAGTTGAGAAAAATGCATGAAGGGCGTCTAACATTGTTCTGATTCCCCACGCTGGTTGCCACAACTCGGGATGATAATTCGACGCTGATAGACAAACTTTGCGCCCTACTTCGAATCTATAAACAGAGACCAGCGATTGGTTTAGTATCAATCATTCTGTTTGGTTTAGTATCAAATCTCTGTTTATAGATTCGATCATTCTGTTTATAGATTCGATCATTCTGTTTATAGATTCGATCATTCTGTTTATAGATTCGATCATTCTGTTTATAGATTCGATCATTCTGTTTATAGATTCGATCATTCTGTTTATAGATTCGATCATTCTGTTTATAGATTCGATCATTCTGTTTATAGATTCGATCATTCTGTTTATAGATTCGATCATGATTCGATCATTCTGTTATCGCAATTCATTACCGTCCGTTCTGGTTGAGCAAAGTGAAACTGGGCGGAGCTAAGGGATAATTTTGGGGCAAAACCTGCAAACCATCCAGAGATCAGAAATCTTCCTCAACAAGCAAACTCACAATTCTTCCATGATAAATTCCCCCCTGACGATGAAAACTAGATTGCTCTCGTCAATTTGAACACCTACTTCGAATTCAGTTCCTAATGGCCCCCTCACAGTGAAATGCCACTCATATGGTTCTTCTTCTTTGATCGGCTGGGCTGTCCAGTAGGGGTTTTTACTAGATTTTATTTCATCATATTCTCTCATGATACGGCGAATTGATTGCGCTGTGCGACATGCCGATGGAAAAGATTCTGTGTCGCTCATTTTGTTTAGTGAACCAAATCTGTTTGCCAAATGCAAAAAGGACTATTAAGGAAAAAGATCCGATCACAACGAAAAAACCGGAATTAGCACTATTAGAACAGAAAGGAGATGAAAAGTGAGAAAAGAAGCATAGCAGCCAGTCGGAGAGAAGCATAGCAGCCAGTCGGAGAGAAGCATAGCAGCCAGTCGGATAGAAGGTTAGCCAGTGGGGAAGAGAGATGATGTGGGTCAAGGACCGCTAGAGAAGAGAGGGGGTTAGTTTCGAAGCCCAAAGGTCTCTGGTATCAAGGAGTACACGTACTATATCGCCGAAGTTGCGCATTCATAATCTGGTAGTTGGGTCCCGTATTTTTTGACATATTCAAAACATGCCTTTTTGAGAGCATCCGTCCATTGAATTGGGGACCGTTGCGCCCCTTGATTAACGGCCCACTGAAAAAAGAACAAAAAAACAGTTTCAGAGACCTCTTGAATAAGAATGCATTGGACTGAGGTTAACCCAAATCCCAGTATCAAGCGCAAGTATGGATGATGTACTTTGGGTAACAATCCTCGAACATCAGTTTGAGCAACAAGAAAGAGTGTTGACGAGTCACTCGAACCAGCAAGCCGACGGATCGCGTATCCTGGTAAATAAAAAGGCATCTAATGAAGTGAAGACGCCGCGAAACCCTTTCGTTGAAGAAGCAGATCTATAACATCATCTCTGTCAACATCAGTATCCAACCTGATATGACTGTTTCCGCTCTCACAACGCCTTGCTTTTCAGGGAAATCAGGGTGAGATGCTGACCGCTGTACAATAAGAACATCCCCGGCGTCTTCAACCTTTGTGCGTCTCCATTGCAAGAAATCTCTGTTTGCTATTGGCCATGGAGCTTTCATCAAGCAATAGATCACTTCATTCCCTTCCACATTCTTTTCTATTAATCGGTAGTCTTCAAAAGTTTTATCCCTGAATGACAAAATAACGAACGCATGCTTGTTTGTCAGAGGCGAGGTAGAGCGGGCCCTTAGTGACATACCAATGACTTCGGGTGGGAATATGTCTGATAAAATGAGACAACACTTCTATAGGCGTTCCCTCAAATGTGGCATATGCTTTCACCAAAACGACAGGGCTGTCACCCTTAAACTTGTAGACTGTACACTGCGGCTTGTTGACAACATTATCCCACTCCTTAGATGTCTGGTCATGCTGCTCCAATCGTGCCAAAAACTCCATTTCATAAGATCCTCTGCGAAGAAGAACGTGGGCAGCAGCAACGCAGTAAGTGATCACGGAAATCAACTCTCTGTACTGTTTTGCACATTTGGAAATTCTCGTATGATGCTCCATTAATTCCAATTAAGTTTTCAGTTACACGAATTCATCAACTCACATCGGTGTCTGATGTTTGAGATCGATATCGAATTGCACCAAATCCGTCAGACTTCGGAAGAGCCGTTTCTCTCTCGATGCAGCCGGAGGTCCAACAGTTTTGATCAACGAAGTCTTCCGCTTCACGAAACTTTGCCCTCTGCGCGTTTTCTCTTTTGAAAGAACTGGTGGCACCGGAACAGCAACAAACTCTGAAAACCAAACAACCTATCATTTTGGAAAGTCTTTTGATGGCCAATATATCTTCCATTTATAGAACTTAGAACTTCCAGCTTGAGCTACAAGTTGGCTAACCACGTTTTGAACAATCATGGATAGAAGGTAACTGAGTAACCTAAGCACTTCCTTTCTAGATTTATCAACAATTGAGCAGGATTTATTACCTTCTTCAAATTTCTTCTTTGAGGATTTTCTTTCCAATCCTGGCACTGCTGCGAAATACTTAAATTAAGACAAAAGGCCCACTTGTGTGAAACGCCGCAGGGAGTGTGGGCGTCAACAGCAAGGACTCTTACCTCCATCAGTCTGCAAACAAAATTAAAAAATCTATGATAATATGTGTGGGGCATCAACTCACGCGTGTTGGACCTCTTGATATTGCGACGTGTGTCGGAATTGGTGTGAGTGGACCTGTTACAGCCGCAATCATAGGAAGTGGAACATCAGCTGATGCGACTGTGTATCTCTGAAATCGCAACAATATCATGATCGACCACCCATAGGATCCTCCTCAACCCATAGGATCCTCCTCATTGATAATCCATTGTCCTCACCGTGTAACCAACGTCTTCGATACTCTTTATCCTTCCAATGAACGCAGACTCCGTCTCTTCCTCTTTTCTTTTCCCCGCTTCATCAATAATCTCTTCTGGAGGTTCTCTGGGAGATTCTGGTTCTTCGGGCTCACTTGGTTCAGACTGCAGAAATGAAACACACATTTTAGGAAACTCTCAAAGAGACAATTCCCAGATAAGCGACACCCAAGACATCTAGGAATTTGAGATCAATGCACTCGGCCCATTGTGTGCACTGGTCAATCGAAACGGATGAAGTCTAACCACTCAGTCTCAGCATCGATACTAGTCATCCATACCATAACAACTTCCGTCACATCGGGATCTCTCTCGGGCAAGCTTCGCTCTTCATTTTCTGATTCTTCTTCTACTTCTCGACTTTCGTCTTCCCCTGATGGGAGAAATTCTGTTGCACTTTGAACTGCCTCCTCTTCAGAAACTTGAGTTGGTTGGATGGGCCCCTGCATGAACGACTGTTTTGTATGCGCCATATTTCTCCGAAAGACTTCCTGAGCCGTCATTTCTCCTGCATCTGCATACATCAGCCAATCGCGATCTCGAACTGCTCGTTCCTGAATTCACAAAATATGGCAGAATCAAGACAGAATCAAGACAGAATCAACATTGGATGGATGTTGATCAAGAAATGTCGAATCTATCGAGAGACTCCTTACTCTTTGTTTTCTTTGTATTGTTTCTGCTTGTGCAAATAGGCGTATCACTGCTGGACACTCCGCTAGAATATCCTCCATTCGTTGAACAACTGGGGGCCTCTTTCGGTCCAAATGATTGCAGCACTGGATGCAGACTTCAAATACCGTGTTGCACATACTGGAGAGAGAAAGATGTTAAAAAAACAATAGAAATAGCTGCCAGCTTGAAGAAAACCAATCAATTCAAGCAACATTTTATTCATCTCATTCATTTTCAATATCAACGGGGTCAATTCAAGCTACTATCAAACAACTCAGGGGTGTACCTGATCTCCCGTAGCCCCATTTGCCTCCAATGGGAAAAAAAATAATCGAGATAGGACCATAACACATGCTGAACATCGTCACGTTTCAAAAATTTGTACAACAGTTTCAGTTGTGTGCGTGCAGTTGGACTGAAGCCACCCACTGCTGCTAATGCCTGACGAAGCAAAGTAATCACGACTAACGGAGATTGTCAGCAGACTGCGAGAGACTCACCTGATATTCCACCAAGACTTTGAAGAGGAGTTGCAGTTGATCTTCAGAAGAAGAAAAATGGAACTCAGCCCATCGCATCAAATGTTTTATTTTTGTCTAATGAGAGGTAAAAAAGCATAAAAGCCAGAATGTCAAATAGAACAAGGAATGACTCACTTTTTGTTTCTCTGCTTCTGTGTGTTTCTTTTTCAATTTCACCAAATCAGTGACCAATCCGGAGCATAGACCTATAACCGATCCTGACAGAGCTCCGGCCAGCAATCCAATAGGACCGAAAGGAAGAGCGAGTATTGCACCAATGCCAGCACCGTTGATGAGCCATCGCTTGGCTGTGGATTTATAAGGCCTTTCGCGAACATTCTGATCAGAAAATCAAGCTAAGGAGTGCGCATTCCTGTTGTAGCGAGTAGAATGTGTGGTGGATACACAGGCATTCGATCAATCGAACAGAATGCGCTCCTGCATCTGAATCTCTCACCTGTACATAATCCTTTTCAAACAATTCCGCATCTTGAAGCTCATCCGCAGCTTCTTTCGCTGAAGCTATGAGAGGGTTTTCAACGATTTGTTGCTGTCTTCCCCCCACGACTCCATGTGTGAGCGCCACCAACCGATTTAACGATTCAGATCTTTTTTGTAATGTTTTGAGGTCCGCCCCCAAACTGACTTTTTTTTGAATGACTTTTAATGAATTCTCTTCACCCATCTGGGAAATTCCTGATTCATTGGAACCTTGATTTCCTTTCGATCCTCCCCTTTCTCGCCGTCTTAACAATGGGTTCTTCCCCGCGTTGTCATCTTTCCACATAATTTGGACCAGTCACACACTGCTGCCTTTTTAGTGGACCCACACTCCCAAGATCAGAAGCTAGGTTGGCTGCCAAAAGAACTGTTTGCTTGACTTCCTACACATCTGGGACGAAGCGTAGACCTTGTTAAACTGTTCTTGCAACGGTTTGTCACCCGGATTGTCATTTGCTCCTAGAACTGCATTGGTACTTTGTGGCATTGATCTGCACGTTGCAGAATCCATGCAGTCGTGCACAGAGAGAGGATTTGGGTGAGCCACGTCTGGGACTGGAAAGAGAGAAATTCCATTAAAGCATTTCTACTTTAATTAACCATTTGTCAACACAGTCAGCACACGCTCAATTTTTCTGAACCCGATTCTCTACATTTTGGTGGATGCTGCATTTCGAGACGGTCAATTTCTTTTGTTGGTGATGCACTTTACTGGTGATGCACTTTGTTGCGGTGTCAGTATCAATTTCACGCCGATCCATCAAATGAGATCATAGGGGGACGTTAAGATGGGCAAACAGACATTGTCCCCCACTGTCCTCTACGGAAACGGACCAGCTGGCATGCAAACCCTTCCCATGCGAACAAGATGAGATTTTGGATTTCTCTCATATTCCTGTCGTGGATTCAAACTGCCCTTGCGGATGTGAAGGGGGTTTGTGAGCGTCGTGGCTGCTCTGTGACGTTACATTGCAAAAATGAAAACCTTGTCGCAAGAAGCCCGTCTACAGAATGATCCGCCGAATCTCCGCCGGTCTTGATCCAAGAAGAGCGCCATCGGCATTGGAATTGGATACAGCGACGCACCGTCACCCTCCGTGCTATCTCCGGT